AGATAAGCATTTTGTGTGTTTGTGGAACAGGGAGGAGGGTCTTGTGGACTCTCCCTAGAAGTGAGCTGCTAGCTGTTTCCATCTTTCATTTTAATACTCCCATTCTTTTGTGTTGTAGTAAGGGATGATGGAAAACAGCGTTTTTGTAACTTAAGAATTGAAGTTGGCTGTCTTGATAATGCCTAGTTCTGGTCCCCAGCTGACATGACTTGGACTGTTTCACTGCCTGCTGAAGTTTCTTGCTTTTGCTGACAGTGGTAATAAGTAGTGTAGAAGGTATAGGAGCAGATGCAGGAAGCACAACATACAGTGTGTTGCCAAACCCCAAGAGGTGCCCTTGCATTAAAAACACAAATGCAGGAGCATCTAGTGCAGAGGTGGAGCAGCCAGTGCTGTGACAAGGCAGTTGGCAAATTTAAGGCAATTTACAAGGATGAACATCTTGCATTGCTTTTGTGTGCTGCTGGAGAAAGTAGTAAATCTTGGTCAACTACTCCTGTACATGAACTAAAGAGGTCAGGAGACCAGTCTTGCTCCTTGTTGAATTTACTGTCTGGCTGTGGAAACAAATCAGAATCTTCGAAAGAACCTAATGTCTTAGATTGTCCAGGAATTAATTTTCATTTATAGTGACTCACACACCCTCCCACCCCCTTTGGAGGGCTACATTTCAGATTAGTCCTAAGGTGAAATTGTGGTTTGCTGACATTTAAACACATTTTCTACTTTTATAAAAGAAAAAAAAAAAAAAAAGGCAAAAAAGAAAACTAATTGAGGGCTAAAGCTGTGATTTATCTCTCTGAACTATTTTCAGAAAAATGCACATCATGCAGAAAAGTAATGCATAATCAGACCTAGAAACAGTGTTCTACTAATATATGCTGAAGAACTGCTTTGCAGTGTGATGTCTGTGTACAAGCCGTTTTGTATAAACAACTGCAGCTAAGAATTGAAATTATGGTACTAATTTTGCTAATTGCTAATTTCCTTTTTTCTATCCATAGATCTTCATGTCTTTCACTAAGAGGAAACTTGTCAAGATAATTGCCTTAACTATTGTACCTTGGAGCAGCATGTATAAAACTGATCTTAAGAAGAAAGAGTGATTAGTATTTGAAATAACTGCCAGGGGGAAAAAAAAAATCAACAAAGACTTTTTTATTTATAATTTACAGAAGGTATAATAACTAAAGTCCATTAAGAGGTTATTCTTACCTAGTAAAAAGGCACAGCTGCTGAAAGGAGAAAAGAATACTTAGTAGAAAATTGCAAAACCTACTTTTGTTCTTAAAGGAACACATTACGTGTCATGTCAGCTCCTTTAGTGATGTGTTTTGACTTCTCTCTAGGAAACTGGTATTTCTGCAATACTCAGAATTGGGTCAGCCTTTTGTTAGTAGATTTTGGACTTTTCCCTTATCTGTAATTATTTTTGTCAACAAGTCATGATTTTTGTGGCTGTTTAACTGGGAATTAACTCACAGGCTTCTAACAGCATTTAAGAAAATTTCAAGACTAGTCTAAAAGAATAAGGATATTCAAAGTATCTGTAGTATCTCAGCTGCTTTTTCTAGTGATGCAGCTTGGGAGAGAGTGGAGTTCCAGCAGTCTGGTTGGGATACCCAGATGCAGCTGAGGAAGGCATGTTTTACACAGGGCAAAAGTGCCAAGTAAATCTCTTGCGGAGCGTTGACTCTGTAAAAGCTGCATTTCTTCAACAAACCATGTGTCACTGGTTTCTAAATGTGCTGAAATAGTGTATATGAGCAGATACTCTTACTTTTTGTGAGGTATGATAAAAATATATCTGTCAGGAAACACTAATATTATAATGAGGTTTTAAAATTGACAATTTAGGGCTGTGTCAGAACCTTGTGACTCAGATGCATTTGTATAAATGAACTTTTATATTGGAGATGAAATTACAGCTTTGGAGTTTTACACTGGCTTTAGTCTTTATAGATTAGTATAATTTAAAACTATAAAATAAAGTGTAAATGCAGTGTTACTTTAATGAATAAGGTGTATAATTATAGTGATCATTTGCAGTAACTCAAATTTTCTGTTAGTGCACTCAATCACAAAGAATATTTTTCAGCATTCTTTAGAATGCTTCCTTATCTGGTGTTAAAATTAGGTAATTGTTTGCATTAAAACTGTAAAGATAAAAATGTGTATCCAGTTTCTTTCCTTTTACTTAGAGGGTCTGTTTGATACTTAATTGTGTCTCATAGTTGTGCTTCCCTCCCTACTTTTTTTCTGAACACCTGAATGTGGATGTAACTCTAGACCTTCCATTTTACTTACTGCCTGCCTATTCCTAAACAATCCTTGCTTCTTAAGCAACCAGAATATTCAGCCAGCTTAGTGCTTGTGTTTCAAGGTTTATCTCCTGTCTCAGAGCATACACACTTCTTGATTGTATTTGGGGGCAAGTAAGCAAGCGTCTTGTACTGCTGCTGATGGAATAGGATAAAAAATGCCTGCTCCGGAAACCAAATCATTCCTCTTAATCTCTGAAGATCAAGGCTTTGGTATAGAGCACCATCTTTGTGTTTGTCCAGGTCACAGCAGTGTGAACAGGAATTTTGGCATGAGTAGTTCAGATGTTTATTTGTACCACACACACCCCCCCAGCCCCCATCAACCTCCTATTAAATCTTACAAGAATTTTGGATTTTCCTGTGAAGATGAATATTCAACACATCAATAGCAGGTAACTACTTTTTAAAATACTTTGCTTAAATACTACGTGGAAAATGTTGAATAATCATGTAATTTTTACATTGTAATTTACTAGATTTTTCTACCTTTTTAGATATTCAAGATCCAGTCCTGGATAGGTAAGTATTCTGAACACTTTTTTTTTAGCCATAGCCGTTTCAAAGAAAAGCTAAGCTGAAGTTTATTCACTTTTTTCTCTGATCTCCAAATATGTTTTTTAGGCTACTCCATTTAGATAACTAGTTTATGACTTAGCATGTGCATCTAAATGTATAGTAAGAGTCCTTAAAAACATTACACTTACTCATTTCATGAACTGAAAACAGTTATTCTCATTTTTTTGTTTTGTCCTGCTCAGTTTTCAGAAGCATTTTATGTGTTTATAGGCAGCCCGTACCAGAAATTAATTTTCTCCCAAGACCTGAACAAGGATGTAAATGCCCAAAAGAGCAGTAGTAGTTAAGATTGTATATTTGTGTGCATGTGCATAAGTGCACTGGTTTTAATTCAACTTTCTCCTTTAATTTGCAGCCTTCCAGTCTGGTGTTTTTCTTGCCTCTTCATGACCTCGTGTCTTGAGCAGCCTAGCTGGATCCCCTGGTTCCTGTTTCTTCTTGTCTCAAAATTCTGCTTTCTCCCGTTTTAGATTCCCTACCCTTTTATAGTCAGATGCATACACTAGCCTTTTGCTACCTGTTTTGGTCTTTGCTGTTTATCCTAAGACTTTGGTTGGGTTCCATGCAATATTTTCCACGTGGCACTGCTCTCCTGGATTCCCTGCCACAGTTCAATTAGATTGTCTGAAGAACATCCCTGCTGAGCTTCTGAGGTTTTTGTGGCCTGATGGTCCTCATCTACATTTCTGTTCTGTTACTTTGTCTTGTTCTAAGTAGACACTGGAGAAGACATTAAGGCTGTACCTTTTGCTGCCCTACTTAGAAAGCAAATGCATGAACATTTTTTAATGAAGCAAGAGCGCCTGTGGATTGTGGGGGATAAGCAAAGTGAACGCGTTTCTGAGATGAAAAAATGCAAACAGTTCCCCTCAACAACACCACCACCACGTCTCCTCTTGGACATGTTTAGATTCATGAGATGTTTGTTCTGCCCCTTTTTGCTCTGATTAGGAAGTGCAGTCACATTTAACTTCTAGGCTAAAAGTAATTCTTCCCCCTGCCTTCTGTCAAGTAATCTCTCTGTATCTGTTCAGTTTTGTATCATTTTGACGAGCCTTTCTTTGCAAGTGCTCAACTGTGGAGTCCCTTATACTCCACACCATAAGAGAATTACTGCTGAATAGATTGTCTTAGACTCATCTGAAATAAGTTTTGTTTTCTTGTGTAACACACTCCCTTAGAAACATTAGTTTTGAAAGTGGTTATGAATCTCTTCAGTTATCTGGCTGCTCCTTTGCTAATGGATTCAGAAAAGTCATTAAGCATGTGCGTATTGTGATCTCTGGCTCAAAGTGAGGCATTTGGAGGAAAATACAAAATTCGTGGGTTTTTTTGCGTTCATATTGCAGTAGTTAATGTGTACAAATTTAGTGTTTATACCCTCAAAGTTTTAAGTTTTTTGTGCTATTACTTTGTTGTTGTGTAGCAAGGATTTAAAGTCTTAGCTTGACTTTCCATTCAGTTATAAAGCAGGAACTTATTAACGTAGTACATTACAAAAATATTTAAATGTAAAGGTGTTATGTCTGAGTTTGTGGTCATGTAAAGCTCTTCTTTTGCTTAATTCTTGCTGTGTGAATCCTTTTTGGGGGGAATGGCAGGTGGTTCAGGGAAGAAAACTGGATACAGTTTTCTTAAGCAAATTGAGTAAGATTTGTCATCGGAATTCGTAAGGACGCGTCTGCTTCTGCGTATGAAATAAAACGGTAAAGCAGGTTTTGTGAAGTTTTAAAATTAAATGTTTTTAACTTGAAAACTAGCATTTGCTCAATACATAAGTAGTGAGTTTGTTTTTCTGAGTTTAGAATACGGGATTGAAGTTCTTGTTATAATTATGTGAACTGACATTTTCACGGGAATTCTCATTTAAGGAGACCTCTTTACGGTTTTATTTTTTTTATTTTTTTTTTTTTTGTTCTGGTAACATAGATCTATCCAAATAAAACACTGTTTATGACTGCTGGGTCTGAAAAACATATTTTTGAATAACAATGTAACTTGTATTGCCCGAGATTTTTGCAATGCTGAAATGTAAATAGTTCCTCAAAGCTAATTTGGGAGTAATTGCAACTTTGCTCTTTTTTTCTTGTTGTGTTTCAGGGAAATGAGGCAAGCTACCCTTTGGAAATGTGCTCGCACTGTAAGTTTTTTTAATTGCTACACTGTATTGTTACAGAAGTGAATTTTGTTTGGGGCTTAATATGTACAGTTTCCATGTATGGTATGCAGTTTATATACTAACCAAAATAATTAAATTAAAAGGTTAAAAATTACCTTTTGAAATAATACAGATTTTGCTGTTAGATTGTAAAATCAAAAATCAGTCCATCTTTAAAAGAAAAATCACTTAAAGTTTTGAGGGTTTTCTTTGAGTCTTCCATTAGAATATAAAAAAACCTTATGATAGTCTTGGTGTCTGTAGGGTGAAGTGTAGTTCAGCCAGTGGGGCTTTTCCATCAGTCCTGGTGCCAGTTCCTCAGGGATATGGAGCAGCTCATGCTGCAGTCTGTGATGTGTTAGGAGTGAAGTATATTGCATAAACTGGCTTTGTGCCCTCAGAGGAAGGAGAGGTTGAGACTAAGTGAGCTTTGTTTTCCCCTGTGTGTGCTTGCAGCCAAGCAGTTAGGTGAGAACCCACTTGGTGTTACTTGCTTTTGGCCATGTGAGAATAAAATTTGTTGCACCATCTCATGGGGTTAGTCTACCCTGGAAAAATGACAAAGTATTTTTTGCTGAAAGCTGACCAAAGAACGGGTTGTCTCGTGAAATGTTCTTGTGTTCTGCTAAGTGTTCCTATTCTTAGTTGGTTTCCTATGGAATGATTTTCTTCAGCCCTATAGTGTGTGTAGATGTGTGTATGTGTCTTCTGAACCACTTCATAAAATTCCTTATCTTGGGTGAATCAGATCTTGTTTTTAAACAGGGTAGCTCTTAAAGAGAGGGACTGTTTTCTGGATTTCTTTCACAATGCTTGTCATGTGCTTGTGCTGGCCTTTGGCTCTCATAACTCAAACTGTAATAGGAAGCAGATAGTCATGTAGAAATCTTTGTCTAAATGTGGTTTTTTTTCAGACATGAGGCTTTAGCTGGTAATCTGCAAGTCCTGTGTGCCTAATAGGGGCATCTACCTGGATTCTAATTTGAGTCATAAGTTTGCAAACACTTGAGAATATCATCCACAGCAGTGCATAGCTGTGTAATGCTCTCGGTATATTTTGTTAAATGCAAGTATCTGCTTGGAGTTTTGTATTTGATGAAGACTTCAGTAGTGTTTTCCTGAATAGTGTACATATATATCTCAGTCTTAAATTACTGCTCTATTGGTCAGTGTTTTGTTAGAGACAAAGTGGTTTCTGAAGAATGATTTTTTTAGTTAGCCATGTCAATGTCAGAGTTGTTAGCATCCTTAACTTCTGATTCTAGGACAAGCTATATTCATTGGTAGCAATGGGCAGCCTAAAGGTTTATTACTGAGCTTGTTTGCCCATTTTGATTGCAGAGAAGGTGAGGATTTTCATATTACATTCTGTGGTTAAACCATATGTTGAGGCTGTTGTTGTTTAAATGTGAAGTTTTGCATGATTAAAGTTTCTTCTGCTCTGATGGCCTTTCTCACAGCAAAAGGTCAGCTGTATCCCTGGACAACATAACTATACACACCAGAAAAATGGAGTTATCACTGTCCCTTTGCTTGGGTGGGCCAGCCACTGCAGTGATAGGGCTGTGCTTAAAGATCCTGTGTGCCTCAATGTTCTAAAACTGGGGGTTTTGATGTGCACAGATGTGCACAGCTGTATGTCTGGAAGCAGGTCCACCAAGTAGACATTCACATAATTTTTCAAATGTTTAATGTTCCTGCTGCTTCCCAGAAATTGTTACTGACAGATCTAAAGCTTTCAAGGCAAGACCACACGATGTCTTTGAAGGTCATCTGATAGGGATTTTGAATTTTCATCTTTTGAAGATTGCCAGTTAGTAAAAATGTATTAATGCTGTTTGCATGGAGGCATTGGGTCATAAACTCTGCTTGGTGCTACAGTTGCTACTTTGGTGTCTCATAAGAATAACTTTGTGTTAAAGTTGGCAGTTATGTGAAGCAAATTCAGGATGCTGAATGAAGGAGAGGATGCACACCATTAAATAGTCAAGCATATTCTTTTGACTTTTCATTTTAGAACACTGGTTCTTCTCACTGGGTGATTTAGTGTTGTTGGATTCCTTAAAGTGGTTTGGTTTGGTTTCTCAGCTGTGCTGTACCAGAAATTACTGAAAACCTACCACTGCTTTCCCTGGTGAAAATTTGATGTCAGCTGGAATCTGTCAAATTATCTGTAAGAAAATTTTATTTTAGCAAAAAGATACAGAGAAAACTATTTTGTTATACAGTAAAGAATAGTTTATGGTGTAGTATAATATAAACATTCTTTTGTAGAGTGTTTAGATTTTAGGATAAGAAGGACTAGTATCTAACTTAGGCAGTTGTAATTGACACATCTGAAGTCATGAAAAGGATTAGGCCAGCTGTGTGTAAGCATATACAAGACAAGTGGTTGAATGTGTTCTCAAGGGCGTCATCTTTTTGAAATGTGATCTCCAAAACTGAAATGGCTGACTTAGTTGCTACTCTGAAACGTTATATTTGTGAATCAGATGAGACCGTAGGTAGAGGTGCAAGTTTTGCTGAAGCTCTGTTTTATTTTGAGATCTCTGCAATACATTCTTCTGGGGGAAGATTAGTCTGGAAACATTTAAAATTAATTTCAGAACATGTTTGATTTAAAAATTTTTCCTAATACCTTAGCAATATTCTTGTCCATAATGATTTCATATTTGAAAAATCAGTGGAAATGGGGCTCTCTTGTGACCATGCTCCGATCTGGCTTTTGTTAGTTAAACCTTTGTGCCAGTGTTCTAAGAGTATCTGAAAAGCCAACCTTTTAAATACAGGGGTAAACATTATAGATTTCAGAAGTGCTCAGCACCTAATTGCTGAGAGATGTACAGCTTTTCTAAGGTCTGTACTTTTTGCAGATGTCTGTGTGTATATTATGTGCTCTGCAGCAATGGATGTACCATGCTTCTTAATACATAAGCAATTATCCTCTTAAAGCATCACTCAGTGTAGTGGATTTCAGAAACCTGTAGTTTTAGGGCATTCTTTACTTTTGGCTCTTACATTAATAGAAAGCTATGTACCTTTATGTTAACTGGAAAAAATAGTATTAAATTCTTTTCTGAAATTACTGTTTTCAACATAGAGCAAAGTGGAATTGGCTTCTAATAAAGCTTTTTGAGTTGCCACTTTAATAGTTTTTACAGTCTTATCTGAGACTGTTGCATGCATAACAATTTGAAACAGAGTTGTTTTAAAATCTGATGGATCATCCTCTACTGCTGTGGTGGGGGAAGAAGTTGAGTAGCTCAGTGGTGTGGATCAGCATATTAGAAAATGAGCAACTGGGAGATAAGGCTCCTGCACTAAAATGGGAGTGAGGGGAAGCATTTGCATGTAGTTTCTTGGAAGCATTTTAACCTGATTCATCATATTTTTAGATGTATGCAAAAAAATTCAAGAGATGAAGCAGGTGTTGGCCCTAAGAATTTTAATACTTGGATGGAAGAGGAATCTTTTGAAAGTACTGATAGTTCTTTAACAAAAACCCCCTTAGTACCAGAACTATTTAACACCCACCTTATGTTAATTACAAGGGGAACAAGATTCAAAATGTATTATGAAATAAACATAAATAATTCTATGTGGTTTAGAACAGTGCAGAATTTGGTGTTTTACAGGGCTGCCAAGAGAGGGTTTTAAAGAAAAGCACTTAGCAGTTATTATTTCCAGCCAGTTTGTGAGCTCAGGCATCAGAGCCAAGCTGATGGGATAGTGTCAGATTCTGGTGGAAGGCATAGGAAGCACAAATCCCCCTGTGAGCTGGGGAGCACAGCACAAAAATGCCTAATTCAGATCTGAGGGAGAGGAATGCTCAGGGTTGTTCATTGTGGTGATGAGTCACAGGCAAACTCTGCCTCAAACAGTGTAAACAAAGCTCAGTCCTCCTGGTTTGCCTCAGTGGTGTTATTGCCCTTTTTACACTACTGTGGACATGGAGTTCCTAGTGCTTTTATCTGTCCAGGTCTCCTGAGCTGGTCTTCTTAAATTCTGTCTGCTACTGCCACCATCAGTCCTCTCAGCTCAGCTTTCCCTTGATCTGAACTATCTTGTGCCTTGCATTTCCAGCAGAACTTAAGATCTTGAGTTTGTGTGGGCACAAAGTCATATTTTTTGTTCAGACTAAAAATTTAATTCAGTGCTCTGTTCTTCAGTGAGAACTATGTGGAATTTTAAGTCTGTTGATAAGGACAAGGAAAATAAAGGCCTTGGAAAAAAGGGGAGCATCCATCTTGGATGGGAACTGTTGTATATGTTCATTCTGAGAGATAATATCAACAAAAAATGAATAAGGTATTACTGAAATCTGCTGTTCCACATAAATGTATGCTGTTTTCCTTTAAAATATCCAAAGGAGAATGAAGAAACAAGCACTAATCCCCAGAAGACCTACATAGTTGTTAGGTAAATTCAGCATAGGCAGGGAGAGTCACCAGAAATGAAGACTCTGAACTGAGGAAAGAATAGACAGAAGGTATGCAAATCTAAGGCATATTATACTGTGATGTATTCATCCCTAATTTTATATTTGCATTCTTACTTCTTAAAGCTGTTCTATGAAGACAAAGATGCTACTGAAATACAATTTTTTTTCAAGTGCATAAGCTTTTTAAAATTCAGCTTGTGGAAAGGATTTAACGGGAGGTGAGGTGCCTACAATATATTTAAGGAAAAATAATGAGGTTCTGATACAAAATTCTGGTAAAAGTCAGTTATGAACACAGTGATGTCATGTTTATCCAGATATGTCCATTAGGAACAGACATTTATGTGCTCATGAACTATTAAAGAAAATTTTCTTAGTCCGGCATTTACTTTGCTTTTTCACTATTTCCTCCTGCAAGTCCTGTCATTCATGGTGTGTCAATTGCCAGAAACAGAACATTGGAAGAGTTTACTATTTGGTCAGCTTTTGGCAGAGATGCTAATTGTTTTCAGTACTGTTTTTTTGACCTTTTATTTGTTTTTTTGCCCCTTAAGGAAAGAACCTTTCTCAGATCTCCAGTGCAGGCAAACCCTTTGCTTGAATGTTTCAAGGTTTAGAATGAGAAATCTGTAATCCCATTTGTAGTAGGAACTGTTTCCAGATGTTTGTACCTGGACTGTGCATTGAAGTTGAGCTGGTATGAGCTATGAAATTGGATGTGTGTATATGTGGAGAAAGAGTAATTAACATTTTTCAAGTATCCTTAATTTCATAATTGCGGCAGCTGTTGCTTTGTTACAGTTCAGCAAAACACGAACATTCTTGAGCCCTACAAGCCTCTGCAACCTCCTCCCCTTCCTGTGATCTGATTCTTATCTTTGTTGTCCATAATCTTGACCTCCTTGCCTACAATCTTTAAAACAAAACAAAATTTCTTCTCTTACACTTGCTAGCTTTTGAATTTAAGGACCTTGTTAACTGCAAATGCGAGGCTGGTTAAACCAGCAGTGGTTCTTGTGCCCAGCACATGATGGCAGAGCAGCATTGCTTGTTAATACTGTGTTCTGTGAAATAGTTTCTGAATGCCACAAGAAAACGTTCTTTTTGTAGTATTGGTAGTTCCTGCTGGAGATAACTTGAGATAAAATACCTTTCTGACAACAGTTTGTTTTCTTAGCATGTCTTTCTGCAATGGCAAAGTTGGGCTTGTCTGTCTTTTGTGCCAGCTTGTGCCAATTTAAGCTGTGCAGCCGTGTGTGAGTGACTTGTATGTGTGCTAATTAGCTCCACTTCATAGCAGAACATTGACAGAACTCTGGGTGTCACTTCCAGTCTTTGCTCTTATATTTGTGAGGAAAAACGGCATGGACTTGAGCTCCCAAAGCAGGAAATGGAACAGAAGTAATGAAATAAGACTTTCTTTAATGTGAACTCTGGGTTGTGAGAAAATGGTGTAACCCAGGCAGCTCTGTGTTTCCATCCCAATTTGTGAAATGAAATGCTGTGTTTTGGTACTTAGGAGTTTAAGTGTTATTGGAAATGTTATAGAACTTGCAGTTTATAAACTCGTTAGTTTTTGTGGCAAGGGAGAAGAGATCCAGCTGTGTTAATGCTTCTGTCATTTTTCTCCATTGTGATTTTGTGAAATTGCAGAGCTGTGAAGGTGTTTAGGTTGCTTAGGAGGCTTTAGAATGACCAGATGGAAAGATTAGTTTTTCTGTTAATACTGGAAGTGAGATTCCACTACTCTGGTAAGAAACTGACAGTATATACACCGTAGACAATACTTTGAGTTCGCTGTTGAGTTGTTTTAAAGTGAAGTATACCTTATTAGGGTATAAATTATGTCTATTCCTACACTTACTTTACAAGGTAGTAAAATACATAGGTACTGTGATAAGCCACCCTTAATATTTTTATGCTTTTTCAAATGCTTTTGTTGTGAGGATTTTTTGGGGGTATCAACTCTTTCTATGCGAGTTGCAAGCAGAACTTGCACTAAAAATGAAGTTCCCACATTTGCAGCTTTCCAAGGTGCTGTCTTTGCATTAAGATGGGGTGGGCCCAGCAGTTGTCCAGTGGCAGGACTGGGATCAAGGATGAATGGAAGCAAAAGAGTTTCTGTGTAAAGAGGCAAAAGCTGGAAAATACCTTCAGTGTATTGATGGGAAGCAGCATTTTGTGCTGATGGAGCTCCTAAAATTGCCTGTGGAGCTCTGCTTTGCCATTTCTCTTTAATACTGTGTTCTTTTAGTCCCATGATGATGTTCTACATCCAGGTTACTATATGGTGCTCTGTCTCCTTCTGTGTCCTCTAGAGGGGTTCCTGCAACGTGTTGCTGCCCCTGCTGTGGTGTTGCACTGTTCAGGGTACATCTCCAGTGATGTTCAAGGCTTCTGCACAAACTGGGGTAAAAGGAATATTTCAGAGCAGTCGAGAGGTTAATTGTGTGAAATACCACACTGCTTACTAGAAACCGAGGGAAGCAAATTATGTTTAGTCTTGCTTTTATAGCCCTAGAGGCAGAATCAGGTCTGTCACTTTCTGGCAGAGGAAAGAGAAGATTATTCTGGGACTGTACACTGTTTTTTGCCCTTTGTCTCTGCAGTTGCAAGCAGTAACTGAGACTGACTGCAGAGTGTCAGAAAAATCATCTTGTGCCTCTGGACTTCTCTCAAGCTCTCTCATTCTGAAATAATACAGTCCTGAGGACTCTGTATTTGTGTCTCATTGGTTTTTAGACAAAAAAAACAATGGAAGTTTTTGAGGAAGGAATTGAATTGGAAGTTGGTTACTGTTGGTAGAGGATCACGATTTTGAGTTGGCTACAGTTTCAGAACATGAAGCTCTGCAGACTGGCTGACCTTATGTATTGAAAAGACTCAGAGCTGTTTGGTTTATGCTGCACTTTTACTAAAGCCTAAGAATGTGCAAACGTGATGTGAAATGGATCAGGTGGAGGTACATGCCTTGTGGACTATAGGATACAATTTTGTTACTATTACAGCAAACACACTACTAAATGGAGCTAAGAAATAGTGAAGGAATTGCTCAGGTTAAGGAGGAGGTTGGTAGGGGGAGTTTGCAGGCTTAGGTTCTGCAAGGTCTGTTTGCTGTAGTCTGCTCTATGCTGAGCTTCTTCTAGGATTCCTGAGAACCCCAGTTTCTCCTTCATAGCCAAAAATGGTGAGCAACATGTGAACAGACTTGGATCTCGTGAATGGAGCTGCTGACAGGATATTATCAGGTTGTTAACTGGGGAAATTTTTTCAAGCCTTTCAGCAGTAGCAATGTACAAGATTGCATTTAATTGTGTTTATGGATTCACAGGTTTAGTCTATCCTTGGCATAATGAGATGTGTAAAATAGGCTACTAGGTGTATGCTTTAATTGAGATTCTCTATAAATTTGAAGAGATTAGATGAAGACATGCTGCTGCACAACCTGAATCTACTTTAATTTCTGGGACAAAAAAAAAGCTGTGTGCAGGTTGTGGCTACAGGTGTATCTTTTTCCTGTCTGGAAATGGAGAGGAAAAATGATTTTAGGTCAGTCAGAGGGATGTTTTGAGTAGGTAAGAGATAACTGGTCAACAGTAGGACAGTTAACCTGCTTAACTTGACACTTATCCCAGAAGATCTCATGTTCAGTGTGCTGAAGAAACACTAGTTTTGCTAATAAATTGAATATAATTTAATATAATTATCTTTTGTCATTGTCCTAACATATTATGTTAGTCTAGTGTAAACATAATGCTAGCTCCTTCAGAGAACACTTGGTCTCTTCCTTAACTTCTTCATAAATGGTATTTGTAAGAGCTGTCTGACTAAGAACTAACTAGCTAAGCATCCTCAATCCTTCAAAATGTTGTGTCAGCATGTGGTATTCAGTGAGTCACAAGGCTAATAGCTGTATTATGGCAGGTGCAGGGAGAAAAAAAGGTAAGTCTTATTTAAAAAAAACCTGTGTTTACTTCAGATTTTCATGTTACCTTTATAGGTGTTTAATAGTTACAGTAAAGTAGGAGAGAATCTTGTAGGAAATTAATGAAATGTGCCTTGTGTTTAACTGCAAAGGGTTTACTGAAGCCTTTCTAAGTATGGCGTTGTTTTTCATTTCAGTTGATGCTGATGAGATAAAACGACTAGGAAAGAGATTCAAGAAGCTTGATTTGGACAACTCTGGTTCTCTGAGCGTGGAGGAGTTCATGTCTTTACCTGAATTGCAACAGAACCCATTAGTACAGCGAGTAATAGATATATTTGACACAGATGGCAATGGAGAAGTGGATTTCAAAGGTAAGGCACAGTGTTCTGTGACAGGTGGTGGTACTTCAGAATTCCTAGAGCTTTCATGTTTTTCTTCATCTGAGAGAGGAGAGAGGAGGAAAATTTGCTAAAATAACGTACTAAATCCTAGTGAAAGTAAATATCAGTAAAACTAGTTTCTCTGCATTAGGGAACTTTGGAGTGAAATGTTTAAAAGAGCAGATTGTTTAGTAATTGCCTTTAAGGCCTTGCTGACTGAGGACTACTCATTAAATATCTCTTAAAGTACACCAATTTAGATTCTTAATTTTAATGCTGAGGACAAGAAGGAAGTGTGTTAGGCTAAGTGGTGTGTTACTGTATAAGTTGTATTTATCCAAATATCCAAATGAAATCTGTCCTTTGGAGTATTTAGAAAATAGAAGGGAGCCCAGGTTTTTCTCTTGATACTTCTTATATGGGATTCTTTTTAGGTAGATCTTAGATGGACACTTGAAGGAAAAAAAAATCCAAACAACCCAGAAGATTTGATTTAGAACATTTCTCAAAATTTTAGACTTATTTTAAATGTTCATGTTTAAAAGGGCTAGCAAGCTATAATCTTCATCACTAGTTCATCTTAAAGCACTATCTGACCTTCAGAAGTGATAATGTTTGTAACTTCTGTCCAAGGTAATACCTAGTATTTCCTGTTGCTTATGGCTGGAGAAGTTTAATCAGTCTTGCATGTTTTCTAAAATTGGAGAAAGAACTTAAATCTTATTTATACTGACAGACTGACATTTTAAATAAGGTATTAATATACAAGAGTTGCTAACCTTTACAAAACCCCATAAATGTGTATAGAGATAGCTAAAGTATAGCCAGAATGTTTTGATTGGAAGCAGTAATTGTTGCATGGAACTATTTAAAATTCCTTTCTTAAAAATAGATAGTCATGAACAATGATGATCATGTTGTCTGTGACATTGAGCTGTGATTAATACAGTTATCAAGAGTTGTTCCTCTTGGGTGGGAACAGGAAGTTGGCAAAAATCTATTATTTTAGAGAAAAATATTACTTTAGTAATTCTCCAAAAGCAGTTTTCGGTTTCAATGTAATTCTTTACATTGAGAAACCAGTATTGAGAGGAGTTGTACAATTAGTCTCAATTGGAGTAGCTTTAGTAATGATCTTAGAGTTTTCTGTCAGGTTCTTGTGAAGGTCCAGCCATAAAATTCCTTAAATCCTGGTTTGACCAAGTCTGTTTAGTGAGTGCTGCATTGGATTTGGGGTTCTTCCCACTGAAGAGCATTGAATATAAAAGTATGCAGACATTTAGGTGTCGCAGGGTAGACAATATTTTAGAATTTAGAATTTTAAAGATTAGATTGGTTTTACAGTTTCTAAAATTTTCTGAATACTGACTTGTTTATTAAAAAAATAACACTTTTTATACGTGTTTTCCTTGCATTATTTAGAATTTATAGAAGGAGTCTCCCAGTTCAGTGTCAAAGGAGATAAGGAACAGAAGTTGAGGTGTAAGTATTTTGATTTTCCTTAACTTAACAAAACTTTCCTGATCCTCAAAAATACACTTTTATAAGTTAAGATTAAGAAACTGGCAAATCCAAATTGTTGTAAAGAGTGGAAAATCATGAAAGTAGATTGTAAGCTTTTTGCACATTTTGTCCTTTATTTGTGTGAAGGTTTGTTAGCACCCTTTTCTGCACAGAAGGTTGAAGGAGGTTGGTTGCTTTCTGAAAAATTTTGATTGCTTTCTGTCTTTTAAAAAAAAAAAATTCACTTAAGAACAGCTTGCTGTATAGTTCTGTGAACTTACAGGGCCTCAATTCTTTGCTTTTAGAGTAGGGAAGCATTAATTCTTGTTTCAGAAGTGCATCTCCAGACCCAGGCTTTTAGGAGTAGAAAAGAGACAGGTTCAGTTACGGATATTGCTTCCAATAAATAAGATTGAAATGTTTAAAAATAAATTCAGTCTTGATGCCAAGTTGTTTGCAGCAGATGGGATTTTGAGACATCTGTTTCCTGGAAGGTTGTAATTTTTTTTGCTGCCTGGGTGCTTTACTTGTGATGGGGAAGATTTTGGTGTTCATACAGCACTTTTACTGCTGGTGCTAAAAGAATTTCAGGTGTTTTCCAAAAGTGAGTATGTATTATTTTCCATCCACAGTTGCTACCAAATGGTTGGTTGATGTATTTTTGATCATTGTTTTTTACTTCTGCAGTTGCTTTTCGCATTTATGATATGGACAAAGATGGCTATATCTCAAATGGAGAGCTCTTCCAGGTGCTGAAGATGATGGTTGGGAACAATCTCAAAGACACTCAGTTACAGCAAATTGTAGATAAAACCATAATTAATGCAGATAAGGATGGTGATGGAAGAATATCCTTTGAAGAATTCTGTGCTGTAAGTAACTTCTGAAGAAAACTTGGGTCATTTACAGAGAGAAATAAAACCTCTCAAGTGCTGCTCTGGAAAAAGAGTAAACAGTTGTAAGGTTCATTTTAAAAACTTAGAGGTTTACTGATCAGAATGCTTAAATGTAGCATTTAGTGCTTGAAGTGTAGCATTTAGTGCTTGAAGGGGTTGATTTCAACCCATGTGGTATATTTATTTAATTACCTGACAGCAAGTTTTAAATTAGTTTCTCAAAAAAAGTAAATGACACGTTGAATCTTGATCCTTTGAAAATTGCAGTAATGAATGTTTACACATTGATTTTAAATGGTATATTAATGAAGATACACTTGATGGCATGGTTTGGGCATTGCTTTTTGTCCTCATCTTTGAATTTACAACTTCAGTTCAAACATAACTTGTTCATAACTCAAAAAATATGTGAGTTCTAAAAAAAAGAAGGGGAGGGGTGTAAAGAAGTTAGAGCTGCAGCCTGCAAATGCCTGGATTAGTGCATTGCTTATTTTATTTCTTGCACTGGGCTGTTGTCTTCCAGCCATCCATCAAAAGTGAAGTTGCCTCTTTTGTCTTTGGGCTTCTGCCCAGGCTTCTGGCCTTGTGCTACTGATGGACTTTTCTCTTCCTTACTTCTAATTTCGTCAGTTTTTGTTGACCTCCTGACAAGACACTTCTCTGTTCTACAACCTCTTACTCTTTTTGAGTTTTATCCTCTCTGAATCTGGCACCATGTTTCTACAAAAATGCCTCTTCATTTGTTGTCTTTGGCACATACCATTCGGCCTTTGAATTTTGTTCCTGCATTATAAAATGTTCCTCTGGCATGGCACCTTTTCTTTTCCTTCTGTTCTGCTTGGATCACACACCTGTGAACACTGGTAATTCTTTCCTGGGTGTGTGCAGTCCTGTCAGAAATCCTGTGGTTGTTCCTAAGGCCCTTTCCTTTTCCTAGGAAGGTTCACAGGGTGTTTTAGAAGTCACCATTTTATTTAACATGCACAAAAATACTACAAGGTTGTAATATGAGATGGAGAGGAATGCCTAATGGTGTTACTTGCACTGGTTTTCAGGCCCTTGAGTGTATAAATTGTACTAATATTGAACTACCTTGGTTTGTACGTAATTAATTTAATCTCTCACAGTACTTGTAAAATGTAAATCAGTTTGGAGATTTACATTTTACAATTTATTGATTTAATTTAGATTTAATTTAATAAGATTTAGATTCCTATAGGTAGGAAGTACTACCTTTATGATTGACCTCAATGCATTTATTGAATGTGTTCTTTGCACCTTGCTAACTTTCAATTCTCATCTTTCCGAACCTTATTTTTCTCCCAGGTTGTAGGAGGCCTAGATATCCACAAAAAGATGGTCGTAGATGTGTGACTCTGTAGGGCACCACCCAACACTTTTGCTTTCTTCTCCATCTCTGAAGATCTGCACTTTAAAGTCTGAAGGACAGCAAAGATGGAAAGAGCATATCAGTGTGGCGGAGAAAGGGAAGGGGTTGGCTTTTTAATTTATTTTTCTTCATCTTTTATAACAAGGAAATATCTATCTATATATATATATGTGTGTATTTATATATAGATATATATGTAGCTTTCTATATGTAGTAGCTAGGTGGGCTTTAATTTAATATACTTGATTCAGAAACAAACCTAGAGTACAAAGTGCCAAGCAGAATATTAACAGTTCAATATATGGATATACATCCTTACTTTTATTTCACACAGTTTTATATATATAGTAGAAGAATGTAAAATTTTAACTTGGGTCTTAGGTCAACTCTTTTCCTGTGACTGTTCAGATGTTTCTATATATTGAATGGCTGACAAAGCATTGCTTCTTATTAAATCACCTTAATTACTTTTTTTGTTTTTGTAACACGGGAGACTAAGTTTATTTATACCTGTTAATATATTACCAGGGACTGTGTCTCTTTGCTAAATAACTTAGTACAGTTCTACTTAATATGAGAATATAGTTTAATGCTACTGCCAAGAACTAGTCCTCGTGTGCATATAGTGACTGCAGAATGCTTTGATGGCTGTTAGATTCCGTCACCCAGGAACTGGGAGCAGTTACAGCTGTCCTGAAGCCAAGACAACTCTTCTGTTCTGGGTTCAGTTTAGATACAGCTGCTTAAGGTGGTAGATGCATTCATGATTTTCTCTTGTGCTTAGCTTAATGAAATTAGGATCAACATAACTGTGCAGGATTCCCATCTACTTATTTTATACAGTACTTAGATTATAAAATGTTCTTGCCACTTAAATTCTGTTGTTTCACCCATGATAGTTTTCCCCCTTGCATTTAAAAAATACTACAGGTAGCTAAATAACTGGTAATATTTTATATATATATATGTATATATGATTCATACAGGTGGGAAATCTTGTTAACCTATGCCATAGAGGAGGAAAACTTCACACTATCTAAATTTATACCTCTTGCAGTTCTCCAGTCCTTTTCCTGGAGAATTTTTTTTTTTTCTAGATTTGTCCATATCATAATTTGTAATGGAAGGTAACTTGATCTATTTGTGTGATATAAAAGTAGCGAGCCATGTTTTACAACTTTATATCATCCCTTCCCTTTTCTGCAGTGGTACTATTGGCTGGAAGAAAAACATTTGCTAGATTTTTTAGGACAGTACATCTTTCCTGTATAGTAGTTTTTCTATTTAAAAAAAAATTGTTTTATAATGAGCAGTGGAAAGTGCAGGTTGTCTGAACCTCTTCAATCGAGCACCTGTCTGCCATAGCTGTTCCTTCAACTGAGTGCTGCACATCATGGGCTCTGTCTGTGAGAGAGAAATCCAGGTGCTTAGTGTCCTTGCATGACATGAAGTTTTGCATGTAGATCGATTTGAAATGTTCCTCTTGTTTACATAATTTGCATAATTAAAAAGATAATGTTGCCAAACTTTGGTAAATGTTAATGTTCAAAACAAAAATCTCCACTACATGTAACTTTTTTCTTCCTCTGGATCAGTACGTGGTTTATAATCCCAGCCAGTGGTTGTATCTGTTCCAGTGTCAACTGCCATGTGCTCTGCTTCAAGGGGGAATTAGTCTTTTGTGAATTTTTTGTACATAAGTATTTGTTACAAACATTTTAGCAAATGCTTTCAGTTTTTCTTGCTTGTGCATATCTTGGCTGGCATTATAGAAATTAGCGCTAATGTTATTTCTTTAGGGGGACTGGAAGGGGAGGGATGAGGGTTTTTTTTCAGTTTGTGTGGGGAAAAATGATTTATGTTGAATGTTTAGTTTTTCCTCTGCATGCTACATCATATATTGTGGGAACTATAAGAACCTTCATACTGTATGAATACAAAATAAAATATTTGAACCTTGGCTGGGGCACTCAGTACCTTTCTTGTTCACCTTAAATCAGCTCTGCACCTTGCTCTGAAACTTGTTTGTATTTTTTTGCCCACTCCTCGATTATTAAGGTTTACTGAAAAATTCCACAGGGTGCAGTCTGCTGAACACTTCCAGGGTTCATTTCAGTGTTTCAAGACATGTTGAGGTTGTTGAAAGGCACGTCTGGTTCTCTTTGCTAAATGTTCGAAGTGGGTAACATACTGTGTTTGAAATCCTTGCAGAAAGTGGTTTAAAAAACAAACTGTCCCACCCTGACATGAACATAGGTGGAGAATGGAGCTCCTGTCTCAGAAAGTCTGAGCTTTGTGCTGGTGATGCCAGCCTCCTTGCAAAGGTGTGCCCTTCCCAGCAGCTCTGTGCTGTGCTCTTTGGGGTGCAGGTGTTTGGACCTTTCTGCTGCTTTGGGTCAGTGTCAGTATGCACCTCATTTAGGACAAACATTAATTTTGTGTGTTCTTGCCTTACCCTCTCTTATCTTTCAAGCTAATTGAAATAAATGACATAAGCAGCCAATGAACAGAGAACACAGTGACCAGGTATGTGCACTGGGAGCTGCTCGGAATGTGTACGCTGTCCCCTGTGTAGCTCAGACTGCTAAACTCTGTGTGTTAAGAGGTGACTCCAGAAAGGCTTAAATTTGCAGGCAACTGAAGGACTGAATCAATTTGGCTGTAGTGATAATCCCATACTGTGAAGTGCTATTCTGGAAATTTGGACATTGACCTAAATGCTTACTCAATTTGCTTGTGCGTTTCATCATCTCATTTCAGTTTATTTTCATTCCCAAGCCTGAGCTGAATTGTTTTTTTTGCAAGACACTTTGCAGAAGGTTGCCTGGCACCTTAGCTCTTGGCTTCACTAGGCTGTCCTTGCAGATCATTTTTAGGAATTAAGAAATCTATATACATGCCCATTCAGGATTCAGTTCAAATATGTTATTTACCCCTTCATCTTACTCTTTACTGTGCATTGTTCCAGCAGCAGCGACAGAGGACAGCCTGTGCCAGTGAACTCTGTGTTCCAGTTGTCTCCTTTTTTCAGGAAGATACTAAACCATGATGTGTGGTTATAAATGCTTAATGCTGCTAATCCCTTTAGGCTCAAAACATTATTTACCAAGGTTTTCTGAAGAAGCAGCCTCTTAAGTCTGATGTTCAGAAAATCTGTAATGAAGCAGGTTTTTGTTTCAGGCTGTTCAAGTAAAATCACTTTTGATATGGACTTTTGATATAGCCACAATTTAAAATACCTTTTAATGACTACATAGAAACATTAAGCTCAAATCAGACCACATGTCCAAAGGCAATCAGACTGCACAAACTGTCCCCGTTTTCTTCTGGGCTTCCAAATCCAGCAGAAAACTGATGGCTTCTGTAGCTCTCAGCTTCTCATGTGTCCAGGAGCCTGCACTTCCAGCCCCAGTCCTTGGTGGTGCAACTCAGAACCTCTCAGCTGCTCTGCTGACCACTGCCCTAATATTGCCATAGACTTTGGATGGAGGACTTCCTGCAGAAGAAGGCACAAATCCAGTCAGAAAACAAGGTAATCTATCACAAAAATGGATGTGTTGGGGTCACACCTGTGTTAAAAGTGGAGAACTAAGCCGAAGGGTGAGAAGGCTGGTCCAGGTCAGTCACCCTGTCTTACTGCAAGTGCAGAGCTCAACTTCTGCTTTCAGAGTGGGTTGCTCCCTTTGGCTTTTGACACCCCTTAGGGAATGCTGCAGCTAAATCAAAAGCCAGCTGCCAACGAGCTATTTGCTCCAAATGTTGGTGTGGACAGGATAAGGAAAAGGGTGAGAGGTACAAAGCAGTTTCTCAAATTGTAAGATCACTATGGAGTGAAGATTAGATAAGAGGACTTACCTAAAATTAGATTGCAAATTGCTGTTCGTGCCATTTTAATGTTCTGAAAAGATCCCAAAATATGAATTTTCCTGTAAAAAGCAAAGTAGCAGTAGTTAATGGAAGGTAACTTAGGAGATTACACATTTAATAGAGAACAGGAGGTTAGAGATAGGTGTGGAATTTTCTGTCAGTGAACTAGTTTCTTTTTACAAAAAAGACAAAAAAACCCCAACCAAAACCTACAGTGTTAAGACCTGTGCTCTTCTAAATTGTTTTAAGACAGATTTTACTATTTGCAAATTTAAAAGTGTAGCAGCTTCAGGAGGAAAGCATTGCTGTGCTGGTGAGTTCAACTTTATTTGTAAGGAGTTCTTACACTGTGGGGAATGATTGAATTCTCTGTGTGCTGGTGACACTGTCATTCTCATAACAAAAGGCCAAATAGCTTGTGTTCATTAAAATATTCTCTTCAATATTTTTTCTTACTACTCATAAATTTTAAGTTATCTTTGTTCCTGGCAGAGGACATGGATTAACTGAGGGGTTGTGCTTTGCCTGGGAGGAATTCAGGCTGTACTTACGCGTCAGCAAGAACGATGCGTGTCCTGGTCACGTTTTCTATGGTGAATTTGGTTTTTCCACCTTTCCCTGCTATTCTCCCTATTGCTCTGGACAGATGATCTCCTTTCAAAGGTTTGACTGAAATGAGAATAGCATGCCCAGGGTAACAGCAGTGGTGTGTATTCCTGTTACGCTTCTCTTGGTCAAGTTGCTGGAAACAACTCATGCCAAGTACCATGAAAGCAGCTTCACTGGTCAGCACAGATCCATCTGGATTTCAGCTTTTTTTTGACTAGTAGTGCACACTGCATCCAGTGCTGACACGGGGTTTTTGGCATGCAAAAGTTTCCTTCAGAACTGCAGAGGAAGGCACTGCACCTCATGTTGAGGAAATGGAGTCAAAGTGCACCAAGTTAACGCTGGTAGAATTAAGTAGATCAGGTTCAGATCCTGCTCTACAGGGGACTCCAAGGTGTCCCAGTGCTACATAAAATTAGATGTTTCTGGCTTTCCTGATCCTTGAGGGCAAGTGATACAAGTGGAGCAGGGGGAGAGAAAAAACAAACCCATACTAGCAGGATGCACACACGACTTCTTGAATGCTGCAGCAGAAAGTACTCACCATCTGTAACTTCAAATGA